GATCGAATCGTCGAATGATCGTGGGTGGCAGAGGCCTCGAAGATAGTCTAGCCAACCTAGATATGACAAGATAGACATTAGATACTACTTATTACAAAAGTAGACACAGTATATTGGTTGTCATAAATATAATCTCATTTGGAACGTGTAAAAATACGTTCACCCCAAAACGGGATGATGTGAGGGTCAAGCTATTTTGTCTAGGCTTAATTATGAAACCTGTTTAGTTAGTTGCTAGGTAATTCATAGCATGAAATGCTGGAACAACTTGATCAGTTACGTACTATCTCATTAATAAAGTCGTATTTGCTTCAGCTTTTGCATTTGACTTCGTACGCCCTAGAAAATCATGTTGCTTTCAGTCGTCCGAGAAATCTTTACTAGTCTTTACTTCTTTACTAATATTATTAATTGTAAAGTGAGTTTGTTTGTTTGTTCCGCTTTCACATCGTAACTACTAAACCGATTGCTTTGAATTTTTGCAGACTTAAAGTTAGAAGTCTGTCAAGTCTGGGTACTTTTTATCCCGGAAAAAATTGATATTCCCGAGGGAAAACAAAAGTATGTATTAGTATATGTCACATAGGCTACTTTTTATCCTTTTGTGACGCGAGCGAAGCCGCGGGTAAAAGCTAGTATACAATATTTTGCTCTTTTAACTCGTCGAGTACCGTATTTATAGACACAATTAAAGAACAATAGGTTGCGGTCACCGGTGACCGCTTGGTGTTTGACAGTTTAAAACATTTTTATGGTGAGTAGTGTGGTGGTTATTAACTTGAGGGACTGTATGTCGAACATCTTGTCTCACGTAAATATACTAGCAAAGCTCTACTAGTTTCGAGTCACAGGGGGACTCTTCCTCATGAGTAACGTGCGCAGACGCGGCTACTAATCTATCCTGGCCTAGGTCCTAAATACCTACAGAAAGGGTTTGCCAGATCCAATAATTATTATCATATAATTAAAATTGATAATTAACTACGTATTTTTGAGGCTTATTTAAAAGTCGTCTTGTTATTCATTCATGAACTTGTTTCAATAAATAAGTACGTTAGTTATCGGTTTATGCTTACGTCATGAGTACTGGAATTTGCGGCCAATAAACGTAATGAATCCATAATTTAAAATAAATAATTAATTTAATTTTCATGCAATACTTATCGGCTTGCCTGTATCGAGGGAAATTATGGAAATCTCTTTTTATTTAATTAATTCGAAATGAATATGAGATTATGTAAATGATATCTGTAATGTATGATTTGCATAATATAGAGGTAACATTGCGACTGTTATTTCCCAAATTGGTACGATTGGATTTTGGACGTCTAATGAGTCACATGTAGTTAAAAGCAAAACTATTCTCATTCAACATAATTCTTTTATAAACTATGTTTAAATAAACCGACTTCCACCCGCTCTTTTTTGATATACTAAAACCTCCTGAGTGTAACGAACACTTTTCTGAAAACCGCATCAAAATTAACACACAAACAAACATACATACATACAGTCAAACTATAAAGCTCCTTTTTTGAAGTCAGTTAACTTTTCTCATACAATAAAATAATAATAATAATAATAAACACTTTATTGTACACCACTTACAAAAGACACGAACAAGAAAATAGTAGGTAGGTAAAAAAAAAAAAAAATAGTTTTGGCATGTTGCACAATGGGCGGCCTTATCGCTTACAGCAATCTCTTCCAGGCAACCTTAGGATGGATAAATAACCGTGAGAGCAGATACCATGTGGGTAGTTCATAGTGTTGAATTAAATACAATGGATATGACAGAACAGTTTAGATACATACATACAATATGTACACACATACATACATGCCTACATACTCATATATACATATATATATACATACACATACATACACAAAATCAGATACATACATACATACATACGGATATGCGGTAGCAGTTACTCTATTGAATCTGTGTTAGATAATGATCTTTTACTTGTCTTTTAAACGAATCCAAAGATTGCGCCCGTCTTATTGATAATGGAAGTGCGTTCCACAGTCGAATGGCTCCTACAACAAAGGATTTGTCATAAAAGGCAGTCGTATGTGTTGGCATCTCCAATCTCAAATTCGCAGTAGACCTCAAGTGTCTTGAATGTGCGTCATGAAGGAACTTAAAACGTTCTTTGAGATAAGAGGGCGTAGCAGGATTGTACAGAATACTGTAAAGAAGTGACAGGATATGCGTATTCCGGCGAAGACGGATAGGAAGCCACTTGAGCTTGTTACGGAAATCCGAGACATGGTCATATTTGCGCAAGCCAAATATGAATCTTATACAGAAATTTTGGAGACGCTCAAGTTTGTCCAGTTGTGCCTCTGTTAGATCAAGGTAGCAGGCATCAGCGTAGTCCAAGATGGGAAGAAGGAGAGATTGAGCAAGCGCAGTTTTAGTGGCGATTGGTAAAAAATTGCGAAGTCTTCTTAAGGACGCCGCCGATGCAAAGATTTTGCGACTCAGTTCTTGAATCTGTGGAGCCCAGGACAAAGTGCTGTCAAAGAGAATACCCAGATTTTTGACAAATTTACTGTACGGGATTGTAGTTCCATCAAACGTGACCGGTGGAATATGCGTCCAGTTAATTCTAGCTATCTGTCTGGGGCTGCCGATAACAATGAGCTGAGTCTTTGCTGGATTCACTTTTAACCCGTAAGTCGAGCTCCAGTTGGATATTGAAGTCAGGTCGGCATTTATCATTTTGACTGCTTCCAAGAGTTCTTCGAGCGGTGCCTGCGCGTAAATCTGCAAATCATCTGCATAAAGGTGGTAGGAAGATAGAAGTTGGTCAGAGATGGAATTAATAAAAGTTGCGAAAAGAAGAGGAGATAAGACGCCACCCTGCGGCACGCCAGCAGCAGTACTACGCCAAGTCGAGAAATTTGTGTCCACTCGGACACGCTGTCGACGGCCACACAGGTAACTCTGAAGCCAATCGTTTACCGCTGGAGATATGTTAAGGGAGCGCAGAATACCGAGAAGGACATCGAAATCGACAGTGTTGAATGCGTTACTGAAATCAAGTAGGGAGAGCACTGTCAGATTTCCATTCTCCATGCCGAGTCTTATGTCATCAGCAATATGTACAAGTGCTGTTGTAGTGCTATGGCCTCGACGAAAACCGGATTGGAATGGATTTAGGAGTTGATGACGGAGAAGGTAGGAGTTTAACTGGTTATGTACAAGACGTTCTAGGACCTTTGAGAGGAATGGTAGGATGGAGATAGGACGGTACTCTGAGTAGCATTTGGGATTAGGTTTTTTGGGCAGTGGCGTAATCTGTGCATCTTTCCACTGTGATGGAAAAACTGCGGAGGAAATGGAATAATTTAGGATGTGGGTGATGACCGGAAAATACATCCTCCTTACTGAGATTTTCAAAAAATTTTTGCTAAGTCTTTTTCATACTCGTCTTATAAGCTCGCCGCAGTCGGCGCAGTCAGTTATAAAAAAAGAAAAACCCTTTATTACTAGATACCAGTTATACCTACCAGTTCAATGAATAAAACAAAAATCGAATACAAATTGAATATTAGTTTTGACAACGTGTCATACATACACCATGTCATACGAATGTTCCGGATTACCACGAAACCACAGTCGGTTACTTAACCATATTGGCTTATTAGTTTAATTAACAGCGTCGGTTAAGGGTTACGTTAACCGATTCCAGTTAACTGCACTAAGTGTAGTTGATGTAACTAAGTAAGCGGGTTAGTCGCGATTTACTGGATTGAGTTTAAGGCTTTAGTAGATACAGTGGTTCTCAACCGGTGATCCGCTAAAGACAAACATGGTCTGATAAATGAAAAAAAAAATACACAAGACTACACTTCTATCTAATAAATACCACGGTTTAAACTCGAATTAAACTTATCTTAAAGAAGAAGGAATTGATTTTAATAATCCAAAATTTACTGTATTTATGGATTAAAGAAGTAATATAAGTAGTGGTGCTTAACCTAAGAATGGTGGAAAGTGTTCGGGATAAGGAAAAAGTTGAGAAGCCCTGCTTTACTACGATGTAAATCTAATGTATGTTACTGCTGACGACAGAAGTAGGTCAGCACTGTGTTTGAATTAACTTGACAATTATTACTTGTTTGTTACGAATTCATTGTTTTCAGGAAGATCGTGTTTTGTGAACGAATGTCCGTGTAGTTGCTTGTTGATTTCCGCGAATTGTTTGTGTGATAAAAATTGGATTGTGTACTGCTCCGACTCCGACATTAGCGTCGTGGATTTCATTTGTAGATGTCTGTTTTTCTGCGAACTGTTCGTCGGGCATCCACCCTTTCGGTCTTGCTATTGTTTTCGTATAAGATAGATCTGATAAAAAATAATATCCTTCCTTCAGTCGAGTAAAAACGAACTTGGTTTACATGGTTATAAAGCCATTTTTTATGAGATGAAATAATAGGACAAACTCGACTGAGAAATTTACCTTCTGTAGAACGTGAAGACTGCGGTATCATCTTAAACTATGGTTGTGAGCAATATGTAGGAAGTAGCCTCACATGATGCAATAACACCGGCTGGTGTACTTTCAGGACAATCGTTTGCCGTCGTAACATTCCCTTCGATGACGTGCAATGACAATGGAACAAAGCATCTAGTCGATTCACGCGAAATGATCCAACTACGATTCAATAAATTAAACATCATTGTTTGTGTTCTGCGATCTGGCCCCGACCTTACATCTGCTCTCGTATTACTCACACTCAATTATGATAACAATTTCATTATGATCCGTGACTCACTATGTCCATTTTCTATTTCCAGGTCACCAGTACGCCTGCCCAGCCTTAGTCTGTAATCATCACTGCCAACTATTCCGCCCTGCAGCGCGCTTAATGCCGCCATGCTAGACAAGATTTATATTAATTATAATAAGGAAGCTCAAGGGTATAGAAAGTTCGAGAGGTACTGGCGCACGTGACGTCGACGGGAGTGCAAGGAGGGCGACATGAGTCAGTCGCAGGACGAGGCCCGCGCGGCCAGGATACAGAAGTATAAAGAGGAGAGAAGAAAACAGCTGACGGCTAGAACAGCGACGCTATTTTCTGCTAACGTCACTGAGCGGTGAGTTCCCATTGATTTCTTTTGATATTTATTTTTATTATGGTTGAAATAAATTATTTCCGTTGATATAAAAATTTACTCACTTATTTTGTTGTTAATTCCAGGCGCACGAAAAGATCAACCGACCTGACGCCCTCAGAAGATGTTGGTGCTCATCTTAAGTCTTCCTCGGAGCTAAATCTTAACACAGCTTCAACTTCAGTGCCTATTAGAACAACGCGTACGTCACGTCTCAGAGCTGCCGCTGCCAATCTTTCCGACACCTCGCCGTCTCCTAGAAAATCTAATAGAAGTTCATCTGTCCAATCATTACTTGAAGACGCCAAAACGAGATCACCCAAAAATTCCAAGTTACTAGATAGAGATAAACGAACGAATAGAAGACAGAGCAATGAAAAAGAAAACTTTAAGGGCTCGTCTTCGACGCGCTCGGATAAAGATTATGGTGCTATTAAGACGAAATCGAAACATTCCATTAATAAAAATATTTTAGAAAAAGACAAAAATAATTTTATAGTGACTAGTCCTAAAGGAAAGAATGTCGATGAGAAGCGCAGTTCTAAATTAGATGAAAGTAGAAACACGAACTCCATAAACGAAGAAAAGAAATCGAATAGTGAGATAAACGAAAGAAAACACGAAAAACCATTACGAGTCAATAGTGAGGAGTTTTTTAACGATATTATAAACGATAAAGACATGTCTAATGGTATAGATGAAGATAAAATCGACGATTTGTTTAATAATCTTGTTGTTGCTGATGTGGAAGTCCAGAATGGCATCAGAGTTGAGGAGATTGATCAGATTCTGGAGAGTGATGGGCTCAAATATAGTCACAATAGTTATATTCCTGCCGCTGATAAAGCAATAGATGTTAATGTTGATTATGTAGAAGATAGTGTAGTGCCAAAAGTGAAAGAGGACGTTGGAGGCTTGCTAGGGGCCGTGTGTGTGCGCAAAGTGGAAAGGTTCAGTGAATTGCTTAGCAACTTGTGTTCGCCTTGCGAGGCGGACATATTGTTCGAAGATATCCTGGTGGAAAATGGAATTGATGGTGAAAAACATGCGGTAAGTTGAAATTCGTACATTATTGAAATAATGACCAGAATGGTTGGTTATTTTGTGGGAACGGTAACCTTATTTTTTGAATAACCATAAGTTTACTATAATATTAAATCTGAACGTATTTCGTATTTGAATAAAACCTATCAATACCTGTAACTAGCAGTCGGTATTTCTAGTGGTTCTATTGTTTTTGTACCGGCTACTATAAACACTCCAATTGTATTTCTAAGTAATATCATATTAGTCATTTCGCACTTATTATTTGCGGTTTTTATAATAACATTACTCAATGCCAATGAATTTATCATCGATATGTGCTTGAGTTTTTAACGTACGCAAAATATAGTAATGATGCTATTCGTTGGGAATTGATCGCGTGCGAAATTGAGTTTATTCATCAGTTTTGTACTCACTCATCTGTCTTATCAATTAGTTTTATGTATGTCATAGTGTCAATAAACCTTTGAGAGAAAAGGCTACGTGCTCCATCCTATTTATGACGTATTTTTATGTAGGTAACGAAAGTTCAGTCAAATAGTCACAAATGTGTTAGTAAACCAAATCCCACGTGTAAGACAGAGGACACTTGCGTGGGCAACCTTTTTATTTTTAACAAGCTTTTGTTTATATTAAACCTTTTGAAAAACCATCCCTTTCCTACTACTGCTCTCCGAGCCGTAGCCTCGGCAGACCGTTTTAGGCCTTTCGCGCCTCAGTATCGGGCATCAGCCCTACTGAGCCCCATCTATTAGTTATTTATTATATTTTCAGCTTACGTAACTGTTTGACGAGCGCGACAGCACGAATGCTGCTCATGAATATGAGCCTCTAGCATGGCTTGAAACTAGTCGAGTGCCTTGTCAAACAGTAATGTGAGTAAGCCGACAACCGTGTAACATAATAATTAAGTTTTTATTTTATTAAGATATAGCAAATATTTAGACTAGATACTAATACTAGACAATCTTTCATCATGATTTTTGTTTGATGAAATAGGTGCTTAGTTCTTTAATTTTCATAGTTATTCGTTTTAATAACGAACTCAAATTGTAATTCTATCTCTAAAACCGTCTGTAACATGTACGATGATAATTGATTTTATAAATAAATACGACCTACCTACTTACATTTAATTAATCTGTAATTCAAACGTCAAAGGTGAAAACCCAAGTCAGAAACATGATTGATATTAATTTCATTTCATTGCCGAAATGTAAAGATTATATTCACGACAGCTTCTGTCCGTAACCAGTTTCTAATCCTAATTTATAGGTGCTATTCTCAAATTGGGTACACATTAAACTATACAAATCCACTTTATTGTAGTCTCGCCTTATATGATCTTTCTGCACATTCGAATGTCTATTTATGCTGGTTCACATGGTCATACCCTGTGTAGCCACATCGAGTTATACAAAACCCTTTTATCATGGTCTGGCTATGTATGATCTTTCTATAAATTCGACGGTCAATTTATACTGGTTTTCTATAAGGTGTGTGTACCTATATTTACTTTCTCTGCCAACAAGTTTGTCTTGATTCTAAGTTGATTACTTAGTAGTATCTACTCTTTGATTAACTTCAGAACTAGATATTCTTGTTCTAATTTCTCAGTTTTTAGTCTATTTGTTATTGTTAATTTAATTTTGTTATTAAGGGCCTTTTGATTCGATTTCGCTTACAAGATTTCATGATAGAATATTTGCTGTTTTTATGTTTTAGTGGTTGTTTAATTTAATGCATTGGGATTTGTGTTTAAAGATACGCTTAATTGTATAATTATTTATTGATTCAAATTATCGTGAGACTTTGCCGTTGCTCAGCGAATTCGCTTAATCGCTCGTTGGCAAGGCATGATAAGGGCCCTAGTCGAGCCTTGAAACTGGTCGAGTGATTTCGCGAAACATTTAGTAAGCTATTCTAGGTACCTAATTAATTTCATAATAATACTTAAAATATATAAATACATACATACCCATAGAGACTATGGAACGCCAATTGTTACGATTCAGTTCAGACATCTATCTTTTCATGCATGCATTTTTAAGGATTGGGGTGGTGTCGGTTGAGGGCGCTCTAAACGGACATATACTGACCAGATTGGCGATATATTAAAGAAGGGCCAAATTAAAAGTACCCTTAACTGACGAGCATATAAATAACCGCGATTTAATGTATGTTACCAATGTAGGTACATAGTGAAGTTCTTTACTTCGATAAAATACAAAGCGTTACTCATCGTAAAGGCTGCACGTGCAGTTATATTAATTCATTGTTCTTACAATTGTTTACTAACCGTAAATTACATATTCTATACAATTTTATAAGAATTCATTATTTTCTTAAGAGGAACTATTAAGTATAAAAAATGGCACGGTGTTAGTTACGTACTTTAGATAAATTAAAATACAATATATTTTGCAATTATTGTTTTTTTCTTCATTTAGTTTAAAATTGTTTTCTATTTTTTTTTGTGGCTTAAGCCGGTAAACCAGCAGACGGATCACCTGATGGTAAGCAATCGGCGTCGCCCATGGACACTTGGAACACCAGAAGCGTTACAAGTGCGTTACCGGCTTTTTGGGGATTAGGAGTTTGAGGATCGTTGGGGTTCTATAGCTTGCATGTAGATTGTTTTGTATTTAGTAAGTGAACTTGAAGGAAACGCTTAGGTAACCAATGAAAATCACCAGAAAAACATAATTTTGCAACTTGAAAATAATAGTTCGTAAAGTATGCAGGTTATTAGGTAACTAGCTGTTGCCCGCGACTTCGTCCGCGTAGAATATGAATTTAGGATATAACTTTTAATACCACGATTTTGTACAAAAACTAAATAGTTGTCAACAGTTTAAATTAGGTCGTCAAAGTAAGATCCTTGGCTTTTTGGTATCCTTTGAAAATGTATTTATTTTTAAATTATAGCTTTGGCTCTGTTTTAGCTCTATTTGGACTATTAAATATAACAAAAACATTCAGCTAACACAATTAGCGATAATAAAAACATGTCTAGACCTGACGGGAGCAATTATAAAAACAGAATCAGTAATTTAAATAAATAACGCGAGTATTTAATTAAAAAACCGCACCCATTTTGGTATTCGCAATAAAAATATGATACATCATGTCCATCACCTTTGTTTTAGTATTATATCAACATGGCCATAGATGTTTATTTAAAAAAAGAACCTTAACATTTATAAATAGTTAAGTAATAGCGTACGTCTGTGGCATAAATACGTAATTTTTCATTCATCGTTATCATCAGCCATTGATGACAACGCACCTGTGATGTTGCGGGTGTCCATGGGCGGCGCTGATCGCTTATCATCAGGTGATCCGTGTGCTCGTTTGCTTACTATTCTATAAAAAAGACGTCCCCTGCTGGACAAAAGGCCTCCCTCCGTCCTCCACGTTGAACGATAGCTTACACTAAATTACGAGTAAAATGAGGATGAATTAAAAAAAAAACATCGACAAGCTTAACCAGGCACCATTATAGGGCTAAGGGCTACAAGTTGGTCTAACTGCTTTACAAGTTTGTGGAGAGCTAATAGCAATCACTACGTATGCACCGTGGGCTTTTGTGTATAAGTAGGAACCTGTATAAATGAATGATTTTTTTTGTTTCTTCTTTCTTTACGTTAAATACTGATTTAGTCGCGGAGAACCTAACGGGTAACCGGGGCTCCGGCTCGACGTGCAGGAGAAGGAACGGGGTGGTTTTTAGTTAGTAAGAGTCTGACACTCCCTTCCGCCTCACCCAGGCGGGAGCAGTCATTCGATGATTTCACCCCTTACAAAAAAAAAATACTGATTTACAACCAAATCTTGGTTAAGGCTCAGTGCCTATCACAACGTCATTATCAGCGTCATCATCAACAGCTTATAAGCCCACTGCTAAGCATGGGCCTCTTCTCACACTGAGGAGGTTTGAGCATTAATCACCACTTTTCCTCAAGGCGGGTCAAGCTGCTTTTTCATTAACAACGAAGGACCGTATTTACCATTATTGTATTAATTTCTTTCTTGTTTCTTTCTCGTTAACTCCAAGGTTTTGTTCCTTGTTCTTATGTAATTACCTTATTTACTTAAAAGCTTGTTCGCATAATATCTGTAATGCGTCTGAGGGTTTCCTTATGGCTACAAATTGCCATTATTATGTACTGAAGCGAAACTTTTACGTTATTGGGTGGTCATAGTGTTTTTTTTTAATTTTTTTTTATTTTCAGCCATGATCGTCCCACTGCAGGGCAAAGGTTGATAGTGTTACTTAAAAAACATCGGGACACCTAGTGATTTTATTTATTTGGTCCTTGTGTTCCCTTTCACGTTTTCTAGTTTTAATATTTAAATGAAATGTCAGAGCAGTGGGTGGCGTATATGGAATTCAATATCACAGAATAATTCAAAAACTTTGCATAATACAACGTCTTCGAGAATTCCATTTCAATTTCACCTCACTAGAAATTCTATTCCCTTCAACTGTTGAAAGATCAAAGAATGTCGCATGATTCAATCGTTCAATCATTCAATCATACTTCTAGGCCACTTGAATATCTTCATACAGATGCCAGAACCACCAATGTTATTTCAAATTGTGAAGATTCTTCATAACTAGTTTTTGATCTTCATTAAAAATAGGGACCAGTTTTCTTGATTCTGAAGTTCTTCGCTCAATTGAATCTAAAACTGTCCTGTTCTTTGCATGTTCTTTGAATCTACAAGCAAGACTATCTATCTGAACTTCCTAGATGTTTTCTTTTTCAATGTACCGTGATAACATACATTGGCAACTGTATAGATAATGTAAGGAAATCTCATTGGAACTGCACATATTCCAGGTATTAAAAGCTGATAATGAAAAATGAGCTCTATTTAACTAAAGCTAAAGTACCTTTTGAAGCTGATTCAGTCTTTCACGAGTCTGTCAATCAATTCTTTTCTTTTTATAATATTAGAACAGTATCGTATAGCTGGCTGGCTATATATTCACTGCCTAT